GAAGCCTCCTGCGGGGGGGGGGGGGAGGACAAAACCCAGAGATGGAATATCGTTGTTACGCACAAGATAGAATCACAGAGTTGGAAGGGACCACCGGGGTCATCTAGTCCAACCCCCTGCACAAGGCAGGAGATTCACTAGCACCTTCCCTTCCACACCCACAGTGACTGCTGTTCCACGCCAAGCAGATGAACGAAAAAAATCCTCCAGGGTTGCTTCCTGACCTAGGGCTGCCAAGTGGGGGCGGGGAAACCCCAGCTTTGGAGGCCCGATTTCCGCCGCCGCGGAATCGGGCCCTGGGGAGGGAACTCCGCCCCCCGAAGTGCAGCGTCACAGGAAGTGACGTGCACGTCGACCATGTTGGGGGCGTGGCCCGGATCGGGGAGGGAAAACTCTATGGTTTTCCCTCCCACGACCATGGCCACGCCCTCAATGTGGTCGATGTTGCACGTCACTTCCTGTGACATGCTGGCGGTGCGCGCGCGCGCATCCGAGTACGGCTCCCGGAGCCAGCCAAGGCTCCCCCGCTGGTGAGTATTTTTGACTTGGGAACCCTATCCTGACCCGAAAGTGGCAACTGGCATTTCCCTGGGTGTGTAAGGAAGGGCCACGAAAACTGAGCACCGAGGCAACCCTTCCTGCCCTCCCTTCTCGGGATCTGCCCAAGTTCGCAGAATCAGCATGGCTGTCCGAGGGCCATCTCGCCTCTGTTTGAAAACCTCCCAAGAAGGAGAGCCCACCACCTCCCCAGGGAAGCCTGCTCCACTGAGGAACCCCTCTAACTGTCAGGAAGTTCTTCCTTATTATATTGTCGAAGGCATTCATGGCCCGAGTTCATTAGCTGTTGTAGATTCTCCGGGTTGTGTGGCCGTGGTCTTGGCACTGTAGGACCGGACGTTTTGCCGGTAGCTGTGAGGGAAAGAAGGGAGGGAAGGAAGGAGGGAGGGAGGGAAGGAAGGAGGAAAGAAGGAAGGACCATTCTGCTTCTCACCTTGACACGGAGAGTCCTCCGTCTTTCTGCGTTATACCTCTGAGGATGCCAGTCACGGCTGCTGGCGAAACGTCAGGTCCTACGATGCCAAGACCACGGCCACGCAACCCGGGAAATCTACAACAGCTAGTTCTTCCTCATGCTTAGCCAAAAATTCCTCTGATTTAATTTCAACCCGTCGGTTGCGGTCCAACCTTCCAGGGCAACAGAAAACCACTCCGCACCATCCTCTAGAGGACAGCCCTTCAAGCTCTTGAAGATGGTGATCCTATCACCTCTCAGTCGTCTCCTCTCCGGGCTAAACAGACCCGCCTCCTTCAACCTTTCCTCACAGGACTTGGTCTCCAGACCCCCGTCACCATCTTCATCACCCTCCTCTGGACACCTTCCAGCTTGTCTCGATCCTTCTTAGATTGTGGTGCCCAAAACGGAACACGATGCTCTAGGTGGCATCGCCCAATCGGGACTAGCCCCGGCCACTTCTATTTTGCCACAGGAAGCAGAGCTAGCCCCGCCCAGGAAGAAGATTAAGCCGCGACCGAAAGGGTTCCCAGAGATGCAGCACTGCCTCGTAGCGTCCTGCGATAATGCTCTGGAACCGGAAGTCCGCCGATGGGGTTCCAATGCTGTCGGAAGGTGCCGTCAAGTCACAGCTGACTCATGGCAACCCCCGTAGGGTTGGGTTTTTTTAAAAGGCAAGAGACGTTCAGGGGAGGTTTGACGTTGCCTGCCTCTGCGTCACGACCCCGGTATTCCTTGGTGGTCTCCCGTCCAAATATTAGCTGGGGCCGACCCTGCTTAACTTCCCAGATCTGACGGGTTCGCCTAGCCTGAGCTATCCAGGTCAGGACAGAGACAAACAGGGATGGTTTGCCCTTGCCTGCCTCTGCGTAGCAACCCTGGACTTCCTTGGTGGTCTCCCATCCAAGGACTAATCGGGGCTGACCCTGCTTAGCGTCCGAGGTCTGACAGTGTAGTGCTAGCCTGGCCTATCCAGATCAGGGCAGAGGTGAACAGAGGTGGGTTTGCCCTTGCCTGCCTCTGCGTAGCAACCCTGGACCTCCTTGGTGGCCTACCATCCAAGGACTAACTGGGGCTGACCCTGCTTAGCGTCTGAGGTCTGACAGTGTAGTGCTAGTCTAGCCTATCCAGATAAGGGCAGAGACGAACAGAGGTGGTTTGCCCTTGCCTGCCTCTGCGTAGCAACCCTGGACTTCCTTGGTGGTCTCCCGTCCAAGGACTAATTGGGGCTGACCCTGCTTAGTGTCCGAGGTCTGACAGTGTAGTGCTAGTCTAGCCTATCCAGATAAGGGCAGAGACGAACAGAGGTGGTTTGCCCTTGCCTGCCTCTGCGTAGCAACCTCAGTCTCAGTATCCCCTCTGCGGCTGACCCTTCTTAGCCTCTGAGATCTGATGAGATCAGGCTAGCCTGGGTTATCCAGGTCAGGAGAGAGACAAACAGAGGTGGTTTTGCCATTGCCTGCCTCTGCGTAGCAACCCTGGACTTCCTCGGTGGTCTCCCATCCAAGGACTAACCAGGGCCGACCCCGCTTAGCTTCCGAGAGCTGACCAGATCGGACTAGCCTGGGCCCTCCAGGTCGGGGAGGGTTCCAATGCAAAACGGCGAACCGAGGGGCACGTGTGACTCCCTAGTGTTTCTGTCTCTATGCTCGTTCGTGCGCCGTGCCCCCAATGCCACCCTTCACCCCAAAGCCTCTTCCCAGGAGAAGTAGCCAGGTGGGTGACTCCTCCTAAGGAACTAAACACCTCGTTTCTTTCGTTTTTAAGCCACGACATGGCAGAGATTTATCTCTGGTGGACCGCCAATGTAAGTAGTCGCCCTAAGCCCAAAGGGGCGTGCCCCTGAGTTAAGGGGAATGTGTCCAAAAAGACGCCCATGTTCCGGGGACTTGCAGGCGTCTGACGTCAGACAAAAGTGGAGTTGCGTGTCCTGCCCACCCCACCCCAGCCCCAAAATCAGCCCCAAGGAAAACTGCACTTCTGTTATTCTGTTATCCACTCCTGTGTCATGAAAAGCTCCAGTTGCCCAATTCCGCGGCTAATAGGGGGCGGGGCATTTTTCTCCAGGCCTGCCGGCAACCCTGCAGGCGAGGATGAGAGCGGCACGCTCTCAGACCTTGGACTTGGCGGGTGCCGTCTGGGCCGAAGGGCTGCCAACTCCCCCGGAAAACCCCACCTGGCCCGCTCTTGTGCCTCCGACGGCGGCCTGACGCGGGGAGATCGACAAGGGGGAGTGTCTCCCGGCACGGAGTGGAGCGCCGTTGCCCGCAAACTGCTGCAGAGCAAAAAGCGTCGCCACGCCGGCTAGCTGAAAACCTGATCTGACGTCACTTCCTGAAGCTCTTTAAGTTCAAGGGGAACTAAAGAGCGACAGATGTGGTGCTGGGAAGATAACACAGCTGGTCACCTGGCCCGTATTTTGTGCAACTGTAGCATCCCCTACGGCACCTAGCCGGCCAGCCCCTTACCGTTCCGGTTCTCTCGTGCTTGCTGCCTCCTCCATCTTTGGGGAGGGGAAACAGTGCCGTGGTATGGGGTGCAGGCATTGTACACAGGGCTTCGGGTCCACCGGACCTACCCCATACACCTAATCTGCGGGTAGTAGGCCAGACCGGGTTTGATCCCCCACTCCTCCCCCACGTGCAGCTGCTGATGTGACCTTGGATCAGTCACAAGTTCTCTCAGAGCTGTTCTCTCAAGGGTAGTTCTCTCAGAGCTCTCTCAGCGCTTCCTACCTCACAAGGTGTCTGTTGTGGGGAGGGGAAGGGAAAGGAGATTGTAAGCCGCTCTGAGACTCCTTTGGGTAGTGAAGAGCAGGGTATAAATCCAATCTCTTCTTTTCTTCTTCTGCTTTGGGGGGGGGGACAACAGTGGAGGGGCTTCTGGAGTTCTGGCCCCACTGGTAGACCTCCTGAGGGCACCTGGTATTTTTGGCCACTGTGTGACACAGAGTGTTGGACTGGATGGGCCACTGGCCTGATCCAGCATTGGCTTCTCTTATGTTCTTAAGGTCGGCAGCAACTTGGAGAGGAAATATCCTGCCCCTTTAACTAAGGTTTAATAAACAACCATGTGCCGTCACATCAGAACCTATTCATTGCAACCCTACAGGGTTTTCAAGACAAGAGACATTCAGAGGTGGTTTTGCCCATTGCCTGCCTCTGCGTACCAACCCTGGAATTCCTCGGTGGTCTCCCATCCAAATACTAACCAGGGCCGTCGCTGCTTAGCTTCCGAGATCTGATGGGATCAGGCTCGCCTGGGCCATCCAGATCAAGGCAAGAGACTAACGGACGTGGTCTGCCATCACTTGCCTCTGCACAGCAACCCTGGACTTCCTCGGTGGTCTCCTATCCAAGTACTAACCAGGGCCATTGCTGCTTAGCATCCAAGAGCTGACGAAATCGGGCTCACCTGGGCCATCCAGGTCAAGGCAAGAGACTAATAGACGTGGTCTGCCATCACTTGCCTCTGCACAGCAACCCTGGACTTCCTCGGTGGTCTCCCATCCAAGTACTAACCAGGGCCATCGCTGCTTAGCGTCCAAGATCTGACGAAATCGGGCTAGCCTGGGCCATCTAGGTCAAGGCAAGAGACTAACAGATGTGGTCTGCCATTACTTGCCTCTGCATAGCAACCCTGGACTTCCTCGGTGGTCTCCTATCCAAGGACTAACCAGGGTCGACCCTGCTTAGCTTCTGAGCTTGGGCAAAATCTAGGATATTCAGGCTGCTAAGTGCGGGTTCAGGGGGTGTTACCTAACAGGCGACGTTATTTACCTCTGCGGCAGGAAAAGCTTTTGTTGCCCCTTTCCACACACGAAGCCTCTGTGAAAGGGACAAAGATGTTTTTTTCTCCAGACCTGTTGCCTTAAAGGATCTGAAGAAGCAGAGCGGAGGAAGACCTGGGTAAGCCACTGTCCGAGAGGGGGTCTTTATAGTCTTCCTTCCTGGCTACGATTATCCCTTTGCAAAACCCCACAGATGCCCATGAAACCTGTGGCTGAATAGAGCTGCGGTGCCCCCCACGGCTTCTACCCTCCATTCGGGTCCTCCCCTGCCCCCTCTCTCATCTTCGGGACGGTAAACTAACAGATGGGGAGTGAACTGATCGAGGGGGAATGCACAGCGAGGGCTGCGTTTCTTAGCATTAAAGGTCAACTCAACGGGGAAATCTCCAGATCGCAGCTTCCTAACCCTACCCCGGATCCCGGCTCTGCCTTTTACCTTCTCCACCAAAGAAGAACTGATGGGTGGAAATGACAAGGGAGTCGATTCCGACTAAATCTCAGGAGAGACTTCCTAACTGTAAGGGTGGTTGAGCAGTGGAACGGACTGCCTCAGGAGGTGGTGGACGCTCCTTCGCTGGACCTTTTCGAGCGGAGGCTGGGCGACCATTTTTGGGTATGTTGTAGGGCTCTCTTTCGGCTCTGCTCCTGCAGAGTGCAGGGGGCCGGACTAGATGACCTGCAAGGTCCCTTCCAACTCTAACATCCTATGATCCCAGAAGGTCATGGTTTCCAGAGAATGACATCTCCTTCCCCTAGCACAAATACTATGCCCCCCTACCCCTAGGGTTGCCGACTCCAAGCTGAGAAATGCCTGGACATCTGGGGATGGAGCAGGGAGAAGGTAGAGTGTGGGGACGAAATCTCAGTGGGTTATAACAACATAGAGCCCACCCTCCCAAGCAGCCATGTTCTCCAGGGGGATCTGATCTCCGTCGTCTGGAGATCAGTTGTATTTTATTAATCTGATTTGTACCCCGTTCTCCCCGCCAAAGCAGGCTCAAGGCGGAATTCCCGGAAGATCTTCAGGCCCCACCTGGAGGCTGGCCACCGGACCTACCCCCGTACACCTACCCTGCAGGTAGTAGGCCAGGCACCCTTCCTCTTGCAGCTTCTGCAGCAGGGTCATCAGCACCGACTCCTCGTTGTCCTCTTCCCGGTCCCTCGCTTGGGACAGGTGGAGCGTCCCCTCATCGTACAGCAAGACGGTGTTGCCCCCGAGGCCGCACGGCGGCCCGGGGAGCAAAGAGCAGACCGAAAGGTTCCCCTTGCGGAGGCGGCGGAGCAGCAGTCCCGGGAGGGCCACGCTCAGCGCCCGCTCCACGTGGGACGAGTCGTACAGTTCCCGGCTACGGCAGTCGAGGATGTGCAGGCGGGGAGACGGGGAGGCCAGCTCGGCCCGCAGCCACGCCGTGGACTTGCCCAGGGCTTCCATGCGGCTCCAAGCCACTGCCCAGGGGGTTAGAATCCTATCATGGAGCCTGCTGCCCGAACCGCTCGACTGTCCTCGGCGAACGGACGCGATCGGCAGACGCCAGGCGGTTATCAAAAGCGATGTCTGCCACCTCCCGTTATTCCACTCTTGCGGGGTTTGCGGAAGGAATCCATAGGGTGTCCCGATTGTAGAATCCCAAAATCCCGGGAGCAGTCTCTACATCACGTCGCAAATGCAGACGGGCTCAGCTCTGGCGAGGAAGATAACCGGCGGCCCCCGTGGGGTATTACTCTGTGCATAGAAACGGTCCTTCGACCCTCCTTCAGGGGAGATGATCGGGAGCCAGCCTCCCCCAAAACCAAACAGCGCGGTCATAAAAGATGGGCTGGATCTCAGGGGCTTACGGCCCCGAGGAAACACGTTGCTGAAATGGTCTGTTCACTGGGGGGAAAGCCGCTTCCCGGATACCACGGTTGGGAGCCTCTCTCTCGGTACACCTTTCTGGAGTGGCGCACCAGGTGTTGATATGCAGGAACGATCCGCTACTTTGGAGGCAGCTGCAGCCTACCAAATCAGGCCGGGTAGGACGGAATTTGTGCGGGATGATCCGCGTCGATCGAGCTGACTTCGCTGGCCCGAAGGGTTTGTGGACCGAGCTTCCGAGGTTGCGGCCTCGAGTTTGAGCACTGCGCCTCGTGGCCCCGAGGAAACCCCCGCGGTCCTCCCGGCGCTCGCCCTATCCGACCCCGCTGGAGAGGACGTGCTGGGGCAGAGGCCGAGGGGGAACCGGTCCGTCAGAAGCAGGCATCCAGGCGAGCCTAGGGGAGGCGGGAAAACGGCAGAAGAGGGTCCAGAAGCCAGAGACACCCCCTTGCCCCCGGGCACTGAGTGCAAGGTCTCAGGGTCCCGGAGAACAGGGGGACGCGTGTGCGACCTTGGGATATGTCACCGGACCAACCTGCAGTGGGAAAGGAAAAGAGAGTGAGGCTGGAGGGACAGAGAGAGAGAGGGGGGAGGCAGGCAAAGGGAAACGGGGGAAGTACGCTTTCTCTTCCTGGCACTTTCCCATCCGTGGCGCCCCCCCCCCATCCTGGCCAGAGGCTGACGAGACTTCCTGGCAACCGGAGGGAAGACGGCAGCGGCTGCTGAGAGAGCCGGATGACAACACGGGCTGTGTACACACTGCAGGCACCCCGGCCTTCGCTTTCTCAGGCCGGAGGATTTGGGGCTCCAAGCCGCCTCACATCCTGTGCCCGGGAACACTTTTACTCCCCGTCCCACATGTCTGAAGGTGAACTATGGTTAGGCCCAAGGGGCGGCTGCCTCGTAACGGGCCCGGATAAACCTTCCTCTGGCTCTAGAATCCCACTCGAAAAACTTTAGAGACGGACTCATTTTTCAGCTTCAGGGTTTTGGAGTTGTTGTTTTTTTAAGCCCCCGGAGGGGATTTTTTATTGCATTTTTTTAACACTACAAAACTACAGCAGAAAAAAAGGGAGGGGGAACTACATTTATAGGATAAAGAAAGATACCCACTACTGACTAAAAACCCAAGAGAGGAGATCATCCCACCAGTTTAACCATACATTTAGTCTTAATCCCGTTAGTCTTACTATCAACTGAGTCAAGTTTAACATTATCTTTTCCAGATCTTAAACAGAAACACCCCAAAGCATCTCACTTCAACCCTTTTTAAAGGCACAATTCAGAGTCCTTCAGCCTTTACTTCTCCTTGCCTAGTCTCTTCCGAAGCTTAGGGTTTTGGAGTTTTTCAATGACCACACTTTTCCGACTACTGCCACCATTTAGCTTTTCATAGTCCCGTGTGGTTTTATTAAAGCTCCGACAAATGTGGTGGAATATCCATAAAATATGGGGTAACCCTGGTTTGCTGGAAGCTGGATGGCCCGGGCCGGTCCGATCTCGGAAGCCAAGCAGGGTCGGCCCTGGTTACTTGGATGGGAGACCACCGAGGACGCCCAGGGATGCTACACGGAGGCGGGCGATGGCGACCCACCTCTGTCCGTCTCCTGCCCGGACCTGGAATTCCCAGGCTAGCCTGGTTTCATCAGATCCTGGAAGCTAAAAAGCGTCGGCCCTGGTCAGTATCTGGACAGGAGACTACCGAGGAAGTCCAGGGCCACTTGCTACACAGAAGGCGGGCAATGGCAAACGGCCTCTGAACATCTCTTGCCTCGAAAGCCCTACAGCAGGGGTGTCAAACATAAGGCCCGGGGGCCGGAATTGGCCCATCCCGGGCTCTTATGCAGCCCGTGAGCAACTGGTGCAAGGGAGGGAGTACTGGGGGGGGGGAGGGGGGGGAGGCGCCCCCTCGTGCCTTCAGCACGGCAGAA